TAATTTTTGATTGAGTGATTTATACAATGTTGTTCACGATGAGGATAATTTATTGTTGATTGAAAAGACGTAGGGCTTATCCGATTACTGAGTGTTTGCAGAAACATTCCTAAATCAAATCAAATCAAATTAACTTGGAGATTAAGGGAACAAACTAAACATTTACAACGTTTTATATTTTATTTCTTTACCTTTACTCAATCATCTTCAAACTCAAATCTACATACCATTTATATTATCCCATGATTCATGAGTAGATCATGCAATATCCACGCAATAATAGATTACAGTTTATAGTGGAATTTTGATTTTCTTTTTTCTTTTTCATGTTAATTATATTTCAAATTGTTTCAATAACTGAGCATAAATTATATAAAAATAAATAAATTGATTTGATTCGATCAACTACTATTATAGGTTTATGAGACATAATATGTAAGATTACGATCGAGCAGCTGGCAATAATATTATAACAAAAACCACCCACATTTTAAAGGGTTTTTTTTTTTAAAAAGAAATTAATTTTAGGCATGTAGTCATTTTATAGTATAATAATGTGTCTAATTCAATTTTATTGAGAGATTGAAGATCAAATTGAAGTTTGAGGGCTTATTATATTGTCATCCGTAAGGTTTGGCATAAAAAAAAAATATATATATATTTTACCTATAATTTTGGGTTGTCATATTGAATAGAGTTTATATCATTTAAATATAATGGTATATATTATATAAAAGATAGACAATTTGGCTTAGAATTTTTGGTATTAAATATATGCATAACCTTTTTTCATACTATTATATTTCTCGGAAGTAAAAATGGTTAATCATTTAGTCAAAATTATCAAGTTTATTCAAAAATAATATTAGATGTATAAAAAAATCTTACAAAGATTTCTATACACACTGATGTGATAGAAAATAAATGGAAAAATAAATACCAAACTCATAATATTTACTTTTCGATTCATTTTTTAGTATATCAGTTTATATAAAAATATACTTCTAATATTACTTCAACAGGTATTTCTTACTTATCCAATTTAGGATTAACGACGCTAGCTTCTCAAAACTAGGGGTGAGGATAAGGTTTTCATACGGAACCCTAAGATGACAACTTGGCAAGTAATTAATTAACCCAAAGTTTAATGGTTTTGGTAATTTAAATTATTGATTTTAAACACATAAACGTATGGCATAAGTATGATTAGGACCCAGTAAACATTAATCTAATAGCACCACCGCCGTTGATAATTAATATTTCAATGTTTTTTGACTTTATAATATATTAATATGCATCAAACAACTATCTCTGTGCATAGTTTGACAATCTACCTAATTCGATTTTGATTAACAACAGTAAATCAGAATTATTCTTTTGCTTAATTACAAATTAACCCAAAATATAAAACCATCAATGTCAAAATAAAATAAAAATAAAATCACATGTGATAATAGTAGATTGCTTAGGATATGAAATGATAGGTCGATATGAAGAGGATAAAATGGAATAAATACGATAATATACTAATTAATTATGATTAAGATATAATATTGGTGGTGATAATTCAGATTCAAGATGAACACAAAAGAAAGTAAATCCAAATATTCCTCTCAAATTAATTAATTAAATAATTTACAAGCACTATCATATCAATTGCTTCTTATCTTCGATATAATTAAAATTTAAAATTAATTAACCACTAATAATCAAAACAAAACTATCAGTTTCAATGCCCGTATGGAGATGTTGCTAAAGCTCTGTGCTTTCTCTTCTGCAGGAAACGTTGAAGTGATCTCTTCATGGAAAGACCGGATGTTGAAGACGGGGTGTATAATGGAGACGGTAGAGACGGCGACGCCGGTTCTGATCCTGTCAGCGTTTTCATTCTCTCTTCCATTTCCCGACTCGCCAGCGATAGAATATGTCTCGCCTGCATATAATATATTCGCAACAAATTTATTATTTATCTTAAAAAAAAAAAAAAGAAAAAAAAAGAACCAGACAAAAACGAAGGAGAAACGGTCAATTAATTACCTGAAATTCTGTAACATCGCAAACGCAAACCCTTCCATTGTAGAAAATGGTTATCTGTTGAGGCGGTTGATTAATGTGCGGGCTTGAACTTGACTCTTGATCCATTCTTCATTAACAAAAAGAAGAAGATTAATTGATTTGCAATGAGGTAAAGAAAATATACATAAAAAAAGAAAGACTGATCAGTGAGCTTACATGTTTTGGTTGTGGGGGTGGTGGAGGCCGCCGTA